GCTTGGTTAGTGAAGGATTTTTTATTTTTTTTTTAATACTTTAATTGTGATTCACACTACTTACAACACTGGCACGTCTGCTTACCCAATTTACAACAGTAATACAACTACTAATTACAACAGTACTAGTTATAACTATTTACAACTGTAATACAACTACTTACACTACTTACACTACTTAACAATACGATGCAATTGCAGATGCTACTTACAACACTACAATTTGCATAACTTACTCTACAAAACAATACAATTACTTAGTTAACTTGCGACACTAATACTTACACTTACAAAATAATACAATACCATTACTGATGCTTCTTACATTCATATTCTAACAATAGTAGTAAAACACTAATAACTGATTTTGCCACTGAGACTGATTATATATTGCAAATTGAATTAAATTAATTTAACTCTCGCATTTTTCAGCTTTCCATTGCAAAGATAGCGCTGACTTCAATTCAAGAAAATTGAAAGTTTTTTCCAACATTTTGCTAGAATAATAATATTTTTGAGTTTGCACAACTAAAATCCCAAACTTCCGTGTTAGGTTTGGGCTTGTATTTGGGGGAAGATCATAGTCCTTAAATAGTAGCTGTATTTTAGATGGTTTTAAGTTAACTCTGTGCTCATTATTGAACCATGCAAGAACTTTTTGAAAGAAGTTTAGGCCAGCAGGACACTCCAGAAATGCATGTTCCAAGGAATCAGAGGATTTACAGAAAAAAAACCCGACGGAGTCGAGGTCCATAAAATCGCAAAAAAAGAACGAGGCCAATATCCAGCCATCTTGACCGAACAAGCTTGGTCAATAAAGGATTTATTATATGGCTTTCGGGGAAATTTTTTTGCGGGACGCGGGGTAGGTAGTCCCGAGCGAAGAAGATAGCTCCATCCTGCCCGCTCGGGTAGCCAATCACAGTGCAGGATTTGATTTATCTTGCCTGCTCACGGAGCTAGATATATAATGAAAAGAATTCACCCAGGGAGAAGTCAGCCAATCCTGAGTTTCGGTCATTTCTCCGATAGGAAGTCAAGCAATGCTTCTGAGAGGACTGATCTGTGGGAGTTTGCCAGAAAGCTTCTGCTACCAGCGTATCTCAGAGAGTTATCAAAGACCACCTCTTGAATGTTGGACACTCACTCACTCATCCTTATCATCCCGGCTGGGACATAAGGCTATAGTGAATGTTGGAGCGGTCTCCAAAATATTCTTGACTGGGAGTCTCTTCTCGACAAGGGCTTTGTTGTGTTAGTTTAACATGAACGGTGTACTGTATACATATGTGATAATAAATCATGGCAGAGATGTTATGGTGTGGAACACAAACTGACTAAAAGCAACTTTGTGAAGAAATTAAGTATCGTATCAGGATCGTTTCTTAATTAAATTTCAGTGCGAGCGAATCAAACTTTTCTTACGTTGCTAACATCTTCCTGGAATTTATCGAATAGTGTTTTATAGTATCAAAGTATCATAGCTGGGTTTGGCATACCATCCAAGCAAACAGAGGGTTGTAAGCCTGTACGAATAAACATGTTGGTTCATGAGATCAAAATTATGCATCTCTATGTCCATCTTGCTCTCCTCTGTTCAGCGCCACAACAATGCGGGACGCCTTTCAGTGGCGTAAACAGAGCTTTTTGGAAGCCACGTGCTACACGCGTAATCAAAGAACGGACACTGCCCAACTTCTGTCCATTCGTCTTGATCCTTGTCGTAACATTCTACAATCCCATTGCTGTAAGCTCCACCGAACACAAAGATCTTCCTCCTTGTGCTTGTGATGGCCGCCTTAGAACGAAAAACACATAATTTGGCCTGGAGCAAGCTCCACGCATTTGCTGTGGGGTCGTAGACCTCAGAAGTCCGAAGCGGTACACAATGACCCTCACCTCCCACCACAAGGATTTTATTGTCCATGACAGTCGCACTTGCAGAGCAACGCTTCTCGTACATAGATGCAACGTATTCCCATTGGTCGTTGCTTGGGTCATATTTCTCGACGCTATTGAGCCCCTGCTGTCCTTCGTGGCCCCCGATCGCGTAAATGAGCGCGTTCAACGACAACGCGCATAAGCCCCTTCGCGTTGAGCGCATCGGGGCCATATCTTGCCAGGAATTGTCCACTGGCTTGTAACGCGTGAAGCCATTTTCCTTAAAGAGGTATATGCAGTCTCCCATCGTCACGGCCGCCAAAGGAAGGTTGGAAATCCTCCATAGCACTGTCGACCAAATGTTGTCCTGAGGGTCAAATCTATCAATCGTTAAACGGTCATCATACCAGCCAATGGTGTACAGTTTGCCTTCACAGACAGTCACTGCCCTTACCTTGTTGAAGCTCGGCGATCTAGACAAATCAAACCAGGCTTCTTTCGTCGGAATGTAACAAGAAGCGGATCCATTTTCGTTCAATAACACAATACCCTCCGTGACACCTCGTGCGTCAAGTTCTGCTGTGACCCGACCTTCGCAGACGTGATTTCGCGTGACGAACGCGTCACGGTCAATGACTTCCGTGATGAATTGGAGTGACATGGCCGACAAGCGAAGATGGCTGAAAAGTTCCGGGAAGCAATGCTGTCTTGTTTCAGGATCATGCTGTACCCATGACCTTATTCCGTCGAAAACTTCCTTTTCGTTTCTTTGCATTTTAACATCAAGTCTTTCGCTACAAATTAGCTCTGTTACATCCTCGAAATCCGAAGACAAAAACTCCTCTGTTTTCCAAATGTCTCCAAGATGGTTGCAAATATATTCCGAAGCGGCTTCATGTAATGATTGGCAGTATCTCTCGGCAAAGATCTGAATCGCCAAGCAGTTTGAAGGCTTCAGATTGATCAGCAAAAACTCAGCACAAGCCTCTCTCAGGCTCAGAATATCGTAAAAATCGGCGACAACGAACAGTTTCTTGGCATTCTCTTCGGAAATTTCAACCTCCCCGGTGTAAACATAGTTCAAAAGTTCCTCGATGCTTTCAATGTCTGGAAGAAACGCCGGTATATCAACTGGGAATTCGTTGCCCGATTTTCCTCCCGGCAACTCGCTCGTAAAAGAAGCTTTGAAGTAAGGACTGCTCGCAGCGAGTACAACTTTGTGAGCGGGTAGTCGAGAATTGTCGACAACGAGAAACACATCGCAAAATGTTTGAGACTTTCGAAACGAATTCAATGTGTGAAGCATCTTCTGTTGCTGTCGATGTTTTCTTTGCGAATCCATAGCTGTGGGCGGTGAGGTTTTCGAAATTCGCCGAAACACGTCGAACGCGATCGATGTCATCAATCTTTAATGTTTTCCACTTCCCGGAAGCATTCTCGTTCCCAGGTCTACTCGTTTTAACGGACGTTACACTAGCCGCCAAATTAGCCAACATTGAGTCAGCGGTAGAGCCAGTGAAGTTCTCGCATATTTTATTCACATTTTTGAGTTTCTATACTGCGGAAGACTTTTCATAATTTTCATCTGTTGTTTCTTTGCGTGTTTTGGTCGTAACAAGCGAAATGGTCAACTTTCATCTAACATGTTGGGCAATTTACCAAAGCCACAATGTTAATTCTTTTAGGCCAAAGGCGCCATATGCTCTTTGTTGAAAACATTGTTATGTAAATCAGGCCATAGTTAACTATTTTCACGAATGTCAATTTGAAGTGTCGGCTGACATTGGCGATCCATAATAGCGCTTTATTTTCAGAATTAAACAGGAGCTACGTCACGGTTTGCGTATTTTGAATAGTTTAGCCTAAATTTTTCAAGTTCGTCGTTTGTAATTCGTTTTAATCTTCTCCATTGTTCCTTTATGATTTATTATTATCTCTGCTGTTTTTCTATCCTAGTAAGCTATTATTTTCAGGCTTTCTTCAATTTAAAGGAAATTTTGTACGTGGTCAAGAAAATTTGAACTCTTCTTTAAGCCGCGTTTTTCAATCGTGTTTCACTTGAACTCGAGAGGTTGTCCTAGCAGCGTTTGAAGTCGCTGTTGTTGCACTGTATTTTCTCTGTTGTTGCACTGTACTTTTAGGTACACGGTAAAGGCCATCGTTGTGGCGACGATTGCTACGAAATACTGTTAGTTCTTTCTCGACGATCGCAGAATGATCGCCATGATAAATATTCCAGGATGCAATGCGTCGTTCGATCCAGGTCCTCTCGTTCTCGTTTTCATTCTTCATCGTTCGGGACGAAAATGTGGAAAGCGGTCGGTGAGCGAAGTCGTGAGGATCATTTAACTATATTCACAAGTAGCAGGCCATATCTATTTAACAATTAGATTACGAGCTCGAGATTTCTATCGCCGGATATATCGCGGATAGAAATCAAGAGAGAATAATCAAATTGATTTAGTATAAATCTACTAGTTGTTCAAAATTCTTAATCTACTTCACTGAAATTTCGAAAAGGTAAAGAACCGGCCGCCAGTTTATTAACAACCGCACACTGCTAGGCTTCTCACTATCTTCAACAGAATAGATAGTGAGTAGCGTAGCCAATCACAGAGCGGCATTCGTGATAGAACGCTAGTAGATTTAAACTAATTTGACTTAGTGTCTAAATCAAATTTAGTTGCATTTTTGTCATTTAATATCCTGGTCTCAGAGCTTTCCTCCGTTTTTGTTTTCTCTTTATCAAATTTAACTCGCGATTCCGCTGTTGTTGTTGTTTTTTCCTCTCACTCACGCTCTCTTAAATAGAAGAAAGAATATAAAACACTTTCTTGGTCTCTCACAGTTAGCTCACACGGTGGATCTTCATCTTTTCCTTGGTCGACCGCTCAAACTGGCAGGGAAAGACTCGCAGGCTCAAGATGATGGGCTCATTGGCGCGGTTCCTCAGCTACTCGTGGATGAGGAACAGAACTTTCTCAAGAGAGCACATGATCAGTCACATGACCTGGTAAGTCAAATTAACAATGATTATTGCATGATTGTGCGCTGTTTATGAGATGGTAGATAACAAACGAGGCGCGTCCAATCTGGAACTACTCTAACAGCGTTGCTAGAAAACTTACCGCTTGGTTGGGTCCTAACGGTTATCGCGTCCACCTCATGGACGAAATGAAAGCGAGGCTGAATAGAAACTGAGAAAGCTGAATGGAAACGAGACTGAATAGAACCCGATTGGCTCAGGTAAGAGTAGTGAAAAAATGTAAATATGCGAGGTACGCCATTGCCTGTGGTGGGATGAAATCCAGTTGAGTTGAAAATATTTTAGTCTGCACTTTAGTTACAGAAACCTGTTGCGTGGTTCAAGTTTGTCAATAATTAACTGTTTTAAAGTGTTACACTTTGCGGTAAATAAAGTTCAGTGGAATCCCGTTAATCCAAAACATCTGGCCGTATCAACGGGGTGGCCGTGTTAAAGGGGTTCTTTAAACAAGAAAGTGACTGACTGAGCTCTTGTTAGGACCAGAATAAAGTGGCCGTAATAACGAGGTGGCCGTATTAAAGGAGACCTTTAAATAAGGAAGTGACTGACTGAGCTTTTGTTCGGGCCATAATAAAGT